ACAGGCGTGTTTCTTGGTCAAATCTGAGTGCAGCAATGCACATTTGTGTGTTTTGAGCATATGTTTAGGATATATGGGTTCATTAATGTAACAACATGGGCCACCGTGCGCGTTCCACGGCATCGTCGGTTTCCGCTCTCCGCCCGCGTCGGCCGTACCTCGCCGTGCAAAATTCCTCAAAAGCCGCCGCCGCTCCGACACCAGAAGAGCTAGGTACACGTTTTTGGGTGTCAAAACACGCGCAATGGATGCCCGATAGGATATCAAAAATTTGGGTGCTATTGCACAGCATGCCAGAGAGGTGTCGTCAAAAACCCTAGGGGGTTTGCATCGACCCCCCCCCCCTTCCCAATCAGGGCGAGGATTATATCGCACTATGCGAAGCCCAGGGCTGGGAACACCTCAATCTCGACTGATCTTGAGTTTAAGTTATTATTTGACAGTTGGAATTGGTGATAGAAAGAAACGAGTCCCAGGACCATATACATTACACGGGGCGATCCGAAAGCAGCACAGGCTACAGCTGCACTTTATAAAACTGGCAATAGCGGGAGTACTATGATCGCATGGTCCCCGTCCGCGGAGTTACGAGCACGGGTGTGGTTCCTATTTAGCTCAGGGATTCCCTTCCAAACTTGTGCTTCAAGCCACAACTTTGAGGCGAAAGTACGTCAACTCCGGGGATAAACTCCGGTGATAAACTGTTGGCGTATTTTGAGGTAGGTTTCGTCATTTTCCACTGTCTTTCCCCCTCCCCGACTCATTTTGCGCATTTACACCCCTGGTTGTGAGCCCCGCTTACATCACAGATCGCGTACCAAACCACAAGACGTGCCTCGACTGGCCCACGCCGATTAGGCGCCTGGAGTTCCCCTCCCCCGCCAATCAGCGCGTGGAGTGGCCCTCATGCAGCCGTGCACCGTAATGGCATTAGCAGTGCGGTGACCGGCGGCGAGACGACCGCTAGGACTGACCCGCGCCGGCCCACGCCACCGCACGAGAGATGAGCTCATTACGTGACGTCACACCCGGCAGCGTCACCGGAAGGTTCAGAGCTCACCGCCGAACATCGGGCAGGACGACATTCGTGCAGAAGTATCCACGACATACACGTGACAGTGTCAGGTGCTGCTGTTCCACGTCCCAGGAACATTCGCGATGCTGCTGGGTCATCGGATATTTCACGCATTGCTCCATTAAAAAGGAAGATCACGTGCGCGATGCGATGGTTCAAACGGAAGACGATCATGATTGACGCCATGAGTTCGTCAGGTGACGTCATACCGGACCGCTGTCTCTAACAGGAACACTTTGGTACCGGCGAGAAGTTAACGGAGAAACACAACGGATCGACGTGCATGACCACCTGACCTGACCTAAGGTCAAACACCCTGAAACGGAACACAGGTCAGGGTGTGCCCAAGTACAATCGACATGCGTTCCCACGCATACGATGGTATACGGCATCATGTTCGCAGCGACGCCGGCGCAACGTACATGAATTACGTATCTTCGCACATCTCAAAGTGCAGGACGGGTAGAGAGCTCTATGCTTGGATTGGCACACACCAGGCCTAATGAAATAAACCGAGACAGCAATACTGGCCAGACCGAAAGTGCTACCTCAACCACTTAAACATTCCACTGTTTCCGGAGACAGAAAACGCCGCGTTCAAGTGACTTGTAGTTGATTGGCAAATGACGAAATGAATCGATTAGGGTGACTGCCTTAGATAGCTGTTTAAAACAGTTTTGAAGCAGCCGGACCTCGCTGCGCAGGCAGACCTGAGCTCAGAGGTTGAATGCTGCACGATGAGCGGGCCGTCGTCGATGAAGGTCGCCGCCTCGGGGCAGATGCTGGGCTGCAGACCCCCGCAGGTCAGCACCCTGACCCCGTCAGAGACGGCGTGGACCTGCCCAGGTCAGACGGCCACAGGGTTAGGTCAGGTCAGGCCCTGGCCCCACCACATGCTGTGAGGACCTGTTCAGCTCAAATAGGCAGGGAATCAGGTCACGTCCGACCCTGACCCCGCCGGAGCTGGTATAGATCTGCCCGGGTCAGGGACGACTCGGTCAGAGGTCACGCCAGCACTCCGACCCTATCAGAGACGGTATACACCCGCCCAGGGGGTCAGAGTTTTTTAGCTTGTCCAAGAGGATGTGGACTCGCCCACGAGAGGATCAGATGTCATGACACATCGACCCCTCCAGGGACGGTGTTGACCTGCCCAGGAGACGGTCGGGGGTCATGCTAGCATCTCCGCTCCGTCAGATACTAGTGGACCCAGTCCGAAGTCCGAAGTCCGAAGCGAGAAGACAGAGTTGTCTTCTCACGTAGTCAGCAAAGCGGGCCAGGTTCTAAGCCATCTGGGTCAGCAATGCTCCAGCTGGTTGATTGCTGCGGCTGCCCGGCACCACTGCATCAGCTAGCGCCAGCTTCAAGCGGCGGTCTTAGTCTTTTGAGTGTCCTTCATCTGGCCAGCTTCAAGCGGCGGTCTTAGTCTACTGAGTGTCGTTCATCTGGCCAGCTTCAAGTGGCGGTCTTAGTCTACTGAGTGTCCTTCATCTGGCCAGCTTCAAGCGGCGGTCTTAGTCTACTGAGTGTCCTTCATCTGGCCAGCTTCAAGCGGCGGTCTTAGTCTACTGAGTGTCCTTCATCTGGCCAGCTTCAAGCGACGGTCTCAGTCTACTGAGTGTCCTTCATCTGGCCAGCTTCAAGCGACGGTCTTAGTCTACTGAGTGTCCTTCATCTGGCCAGCTTCAAGCGGCGGTCTTAGTCTACTGAGTGTCCTTCATCTAGCCAGCTTCAAGCGGCGGTCTTAGTCTACTGAGTGTCCTTCATCTGGTCAGCTTCAAGCGGCGGTCTTAGTCTACTGAGTGTCCTTCATCTGGCCAGCTTCAAGCGGCGGTCTCAGTCTACTGAGTGTCCTTTATCTGGCCAGCTTCAAGAGGCGGGCTTAGTCTACTGAGTGTCCTTCATGTGGCCAGACCCAAGAGGCGGTCTCAGTCTACTGAGTGTCCTTCATCTAGCCAGCTTCAAGCGCCGGTCTTAGTCTACTGAGTGTCCTTCATCTGGTCAGCTTCAAGCGGCGGTCTTAGTCTACTGAGTGTCCTTCATCTGGCCAGCTTCAAGCGGCGGTCTCAGTCTACTGAGTGTCCTTCATCTGGCCAGCTTCAAGCGGCGGGCTTAGTCTACTGAGTGTCCTTCATGTGGCCAGACTCAAGAGGCGGTCTCAGTCTACTGAGTGTCCTTCATCTAGCCAGCTTCAAAGCGCGACAGACGACAGACACACTAGGCGTACACCGCCACCGCCGAGCGTAAGAGTCGTCAAAAGCACGCCACGCCCATGTCCATGTACTCATGCCCCCCCCTCCCCATCAGACCCTGCGCGTGCCACGCCTCCCGGCGCAGGCTGACGTCACCTACCTCAAAGCCGTCACACTGCTTGCGGCGAGTAACCACGTGGTAAGGCGTGGCGCCTATCTCCAGATAGCCTTGGTGAGCGGGGAACGTGGCTATGGGCGGAGCCGTGGGCAGGAGCTGGCCGTTGATTGGCAGGCCGTTCGGAGGCTGACCGATCACGTACCGCTGGCCCTGGACGGTCACCTCGTCTCCCAATCCGGCCTGGAAGCTCCTCTCCTACGAAGGGTGGGTGGGGGGGGGGGGGGGCAGAATCTTTGTCAAAACTAACAACGGTAGGGAACCGCTGACAGGCAAAACAGCGTGAAAACGGGCGGAAAACCGGCCACTGCGCCTATTGTGTTCTCGCACCGTCAAAGCCACCACCAACTGCGCGAGCGTCACGCAGTTCGACATATGTATACATCACGCGGGGCCCTGTCCGGCGGAGGTTGGATGAGGTTCGGGAGGGAGGAAGTACCCCAGTTAGAGGCGCGGCGTCGGCGGCGGCGCGGCGATGTCACGGCACGGCGGCACGTCAGCGGGACGGCCGGTCCGGGGAGCGAGCCCCTCCAGCAGGGCATGAGCGCCGTCCCAGGTGGCGCTGACGGCGTCGGCGGCGGCGCGGCGATGTCACGGCACGGCGGCACGTCAGCGGGACGGCCGGTCCGGGGAGCGAGCCCGGCCAGCAGAGCATAAGCGCCGCTCCAGGTGGCGCTGGCGGCGCCGGCGCCCACCTGCAGTATCCGATCCAGGCTGAAGAGGGAGACGAGGCCCCGGGAGCGGGAGCTGAGCATCACCACCCCGTCGCCCACCGTCACCGAGTCGACGCGCGGGAAGTGGCGACGCAACACCTGGAGACAGCCGATCGCTCCGGTCAACTCAGAGGCCCGGCGCCAGGGAATCACGCATTGGTGCGTTTCGTTCGGTGGTTACAGGTTTGGAAGTAATAGCACTATCTAAAAAATAAAATAAAGAAAAAATGAGCTATGGAAAGGCACAACAATATTGCGCAACAACCGGGAGCGTCATCCCCATCACCACCACTCCCACCATCTTTGTGTCCATCATACGCACCGTGTTTGATGCTGATAGCCACTCGGCTAGAATATCATGGAACGTTCAAAGATATTAAGTTGACAAATATTGCACGGTTGCTGACAGGCCTTGATCACTGACAATCATGAAAAAGCGAAGTTAGACATGCTTCATATTCTTGAATATCGCAATATCATGACTGTCGATGCTTAGCAAAAACCTTGTCCCCGTCAATAAATACGAAACATCGAGAAATTTAACATCTTTGAGCTCCTCTGGAAGTTCCAAAAAACGCTTTGTCATGGCTGATGCGAGAAAAAACAACCATAGTAATATCCTTAGTCACAAACTCATGCATTCCGTCGAATTTCATATCATGCCGTCGCTTAACATGCCGGAAACGTCCATGTTGCGTCTGCATGGCGTAAGACATCGCACAAACACGAGCAGCACAAATCACCAGAACACGCGACACCGCACTGATCCGTGGAGTGTGCGGAACAAGGCTACCTAAGGTCCCTCGTCGGAGGGGCAGCAGCGCGGGCAGCGGGACACCCACCTGAAAGTGCAGCAGGAACTCCAGCGGGTGCAGCGTGAACACGATGACGGACGCCAGCGCCTCCTCCGTCTGCACTGATGTCATCACCAGCCTGAGGCAGCAGTCACAACCCCCGTTGGAATCGGAGAAACACGGCAGCGAACGCGCCACCGGCCCCGGTAGACTGGGACCTCACGACGCCCGTTAACAGAGGGCCACACGCCAGCACGCCAGCGAATGGTACCTCCGGTTTGCAGAACACGAGAACACCTCATCTATTCACAGACGCTGCTAAACTCATATGCACGAACAGTCCTCACCAAAATGACTGCACTGCCTTCTGCGATATTGGGAGGACCTGTCTGGCTAGCCTGTTGTGCCGCTGAGCTCAGCGCCGCACCCCACTCTGCCGCGGCCACCCAATCGGTCGCCACTGACTCGTTGCGCTCCAAGTCGTGGTGGATGTACTTGACGGCCGGCTGGCGGCGCAGGTGCACCGAGCCCGGCGGGCCGGGGCCCAGCACCCTGAGTCGCCGCACGAGCTGGCGCCGGCCGATGTCTACCACCTCCAGGTCCGTGGACGTGTACTGCCAGTGGAGGGAGAACGCCAACGGCCGGCATGCTGAGGGCAAGACGGCCGCGCCCGGAGGTCACAAGGTCGGAGGGTCACAGACCTGTCAGACGGTCACAGGATTAGGTCGGCTCAGGTCAGACAAGCTCAGGTCAGACAGGCTCAGGTCAATAGGCTCAGGTCAGACAGGCTCAGGCCACACAGGCTCAGGTCAGACGAGCTCAGGTCACACAGACTCGGGTCACACAGGCTCGGGTCACACAGGCTCAGGTCACACAGGCTCAGGTCACACAGGCTCAGGTCACACAGGCTCAGGTCAGACAGGCTCAGGTCACACAGGCTCAGGTCACACAGGCTCAGGTCACACAGGCTCAGGTCACACAGGCTCAGGTCAGACAGGCTCAGGTCACACAGGCTCGGGTCACACAGACTTAGATCACACAGGCTCAGGTCACACAGGCTCAGGTCACACAGGCTCGGGTCACACAGGCTTAGGTCACACAGGCTCAGGTCACACAGGCTCAGGTCACACAGGCTTAGGTCACACAGGCTCAGGTCACACAGGCTCAGGTCACACAGGCTCAGGTCACACAGGCTCAGGTCACACAGGCTTAGGTCACACAGGCTCAGGTCACACAGGCTCGGGTCACACAGGCTCAGGTCACACAGGCTCAGGTCACACAGGCTCAGGCCACACAGGCTCAGGCCACACAGGCTCGGGTCACACAGGCTCAGGTCACACAGGCTCAGGTCACACAGGCTCAGGTCACACAGGCTCAGGTCACACAGGCTCAGGTCACACAGGCTCGGGTCACACAGGCTCAGGTCACCCAGGCTCAGGTCAGACGTGAGACCGTGGGACAGCCTTGGCGTTGCGAGCCTACCGCGCAATGCGAGGTGTACAAGGCTGACAGCCCTGTGTACACCCTTATTCTCTCGCTTGACAGGAGGCATGCACATGATTTGTGTGCTTTTGACGCATGGCAGTCCATTCATCCCATCTGGGCGGTATCCCTGCACAAGGTCGGACACACTGGCAAAGGTGCGGATGGGGCCTCTCTACCCTCTCAGGGTTGGGCACACGGACCTAGGTACGGGTGGGGCCTCTCCAGCAGCGCACGATTGGGCAAACTGACTGAGGTACGGGCGGGGCCTCTCCACCAGCGCAGATTTGGGCACACCGACCGAAGTACGGGCGGGGCCTCTCCACCAGCGCACGATTGCGCACACTAACTGAGGTACGGGCGGGGTTTCTCCACCAGCGCAGATTTGGGCACACCGACCGAAGTACGGGCGGGGCCTCTCAACCAGCGCACGATTGGGCACACTGACTGAGGTACGGGTGGGGCCTCTCCACCAGCGCAGATTTGGGCACACCGACCGAAGTACGGGCGGGGCCTCTCCACCAGCGCACGATTGGGCACGCTGACTGAGGTACGGGCGGGGCTTCTCCACCAGCGCAGATTTGGGCACACCGACCGAAGTACGGGTGGGGCCTCTCCAGCAGCGCACGATTGGGCACACTGACTGAGGCACGGGTGGGGCCTCTCCACCAGTGCAGGGTTGGGCACACTGACCGAGGTACGGGTGGGGCCTCTCCACAAGCGTAGGGTTGGGCACACTGACCGAGGTACGGGTGGGGTCTCTCCACCAGCGCAGGGTTGGGCACACTGACTGAGGTACGGGTGGGGTCTCTCCACCAGCGCAGGGTTGGGCACACTGACCGAGGTAAGGGTGGGGCCTCTCCACCAGCGTGGTGCACCTGTCGTCTTTCCGATCGATGTCGCTGAAGAACGGCTGGAAGCTGCCCGGTCGGTCCAGAGGCCCGAAGGCCGGGGCGGCCAGCACTGAAACGCAGCCGGTTGGGGATCAGTGCGTGACGGAAACACATCACGCAGGATGGCATATATATAGTATATCAGTGAGACCCTGAAACAAAACCAGGGAGCTTCCAACTGGACGCTGTACACAAGTGCTGGTAACGCCCGTTAGATGCTGCAATAAGGCAGAGGGGTTGCCCGTGGCATACCGACACAGAATAAGGCGCTGCTTCATCAGAGCGACAGAACGCCAGGGCGGTACACACCCCGGGATATCGGCTCACCGCTGCTTCATCAGAGCGACAGAACGCCAGGGCGGTACACACCCCGGGACATCGGTTCACCGCTGCTTCATCAGAGCGACAGAACGCCAGGGCGGTACACACCCCGGGACATCGGCTAACCGCTGCTTCATCAGAGCGACAGAACGCCAGGGCGGTACACACCCCGGGACATCGGCTCACCGCTGCTTCATCAGAGCGACAGAACGCCAGGGCGGTACACACCCCGGGACATCGGCTCACCGCTGCTTCATCAGAGCGACAGAGCGCCAGGGCGGTACACACCCCGGGACATCGGCTCACCGCTGCTTCATCAGAGCGACAGAGCGCCAGGGCGGTACACACCCCGGGACATCGGCTCACCGCTGCTTCATCAGAGCGACAGAGCGCCAGGGCGGTACACACCCCGGGACATCGGCTCACCGCTGCTTCATCAGAGCGACAGAACGCCAGGGCGGTACACACCCCGGGACATGGGCTCACCGCTGCTTCATCAGAGCGACAGAACGCCAGGGCGGTACACACCCCGGGACATCGGCTCACCGCTGCTTCATCAGAGCGACAGAACGCCAGGGCGGTACACACCCCGGGACATCGGCTCACCGCTGCGCTGCGCCGGCGCGTGCAGGAAGAGCTGCTCTACGGCGTACTCGGCGTCAGCGGCGTCGGCGCGGGCCAGGCGGCGCTGGAGCCGGCGCCGACCACCGGCGCAGCACACGGCGCGCAGGGCCAGGCAGACGGCCCGGTACGGATCGCGACCCAGGCCCGTCTCGCGCCGCAGCAGGCTCAGCGGTGCTGGCGGCGGCCGACCCCAGCTCACGCCGCCCGTGACGAAGCGGGACCGAGGCATGGAGCGGCGCCGGTGCCGCTGAAACAAGGGGGAGATGCGGGTGAGGGGCGGGGACTGATGACTTGTGGCTTATCATTCGTGTTGGTAAGTGGCGCTTGGGGGTGAAGGGTGAAAGTATCAGCCACAGTCCATATGGGAAGTAGAAAACGCGAACTGTTGAATTGCAATGCGTCACTACCCACAAATGAAGGGTAGAGAGCAGGTATCAGACAGGCGTTTATTGAACACGACGTAGCGCTGCGGGAAACGAACATCGTTGGGAATTCGGTTGGTTAGATAGTTATGGCTGGGAGAGTATGTATTATGACAGTGAGCTGATATAATTTGACATGTACGACGATCTTCCCTATTCCGGCACACTGTATTTTCTGCCCAGCCTGAGGCAGCGTGACGTGCCGTGCCATCATCTGACTCCACCCGTTAGTGAAGTGGTGCCCTGGTGACGATCAAATGAACTCCCTAACAAGGGTGAACGCACAAAGTTCAGACATTGAGCACCGTTTCTCAGCTTTTCCACGAGACTGCCAAACTGTTAATTCAGCGGATAGGCAATGCTCTGGTCGAGATGATGTAAATTGCTAAGGAATAGTAATGCCGGCGTTGGTCGAGATCGCAGAACAGCAAAAGCGCTCGCACCACATAACCATTCCAACTTCAACTGGCCGACCAATACGGCTTCATGTTCCATGTCCTTGCGCATTGTTCGACGCGGTTTCAATGTAGCCGGTACGTGCGCGAGCCCTTCACACGAACCCGCGGACGGCCAGGCGGAGAGCAGTTGGAACAGGTCGAGCATATGCTTCACGTTTGCTGCCCTGCCTAACGCGGCACTGGAGAGGATAAGACAACTTCTGCTTAATTTAGGTTTGAATGGTCTCATAGGACGATTAACATATTCGGAGCGAGCACCGAGCAGTGCTTAGTACGGAATTCAAACTAACTGGAGTTCATCTCTCTGATCCGGAGCAGCCATCGTACCCGCATCCCCAAAACATGTGTTTATTTTTAAGGCACTGAGTCCGCCAACGCAGCCTAAATGCACTGTTGTAGCTTGCCCTGGTACCGGCCCCCTTTTCATTGCCGATGAATGACAAGACACTGTTGCAATACGCTGCGCCAATCAGGCGAACGGAAGTGCCGGTTACAGCGCTCTCTGTACGGGCGCCGGTTGTTAACTCTTGGCCTATCTTCACAGCAGCAACGCTACATTTCTTGCGGGCTGAAATATACCACGAGCGTCATTCATTAGCGTGTAGAAAACACCGCTTCAGGCCACGACGGCTCAGGGCTCGGCCACCTGTAGCGTGCAGCGCAGGCGACGCTGTCAGCCGCACAATGAGCCTTACCACGCGTCACAATGGCAGGTGCGTGTCCTGCGATCAACCGTCGGCAGACGTCGCGGGGCCAATCGCACCGACACGGGAGATCATGACGAGGCTGGCGCACAGGTGTCGCCGCCAGCCGCGGAGGAACGCTCCCGGTGGCGGTACAACGCCGTATAAAGGGCGGCGCCCCCGTAGCCGGTGGACAAACACCTGCCGCCGGACGAGACCATGGTACCTCGACTTCTGCTCGGTTTGGGCCTGATGGCCCTGGCCCGACTCGCCGTGGGAGTCTGCCCGCACGACGACGCCGCACTCAAGAGCTGGAGCGACGCTGCCACCTGGGCCTCTGGCGCGGTAAGCCGTGGCGAAGGCCGGCCGCCAACTCGGCCCGGCTCTGCGCTGGAACCTCGGCCGCGGGCGGTCACAGTGTGCGTACACAGCGTCCGGCTGTTTGGCTGCGGCGCCCCTTGCCACCTCGCCTGGGACGGCGTGTCCTCGGGTGCTCATCACGCGGCGCCACTGTCGCTGCGGCGCCCCTTGCGACCTCGCCTGGGACGGCGTGTCCTCGGGTGCTCATCACGCGGCGCCACTGTCGCTGCGGCGCCGCCGCTGTCGCGGCAGGGCGGCCGCTGCTCACTGGGTGCGATGGGCACCGCCTCCCACACCAGCAGTTCCCCTCCGCTCATATCAGCCTCCGCTCTCCGCCTCCCGCCCGGACGTCTCCGCACAGCATTGTTCGTCAGTTGCGAATGCGTGAACGGGCGTCTTTCAGAAACGAAAGAATGCGTGCTCGGCGGGAGACGAGAGACCTCCAAGTGCCAAACGGAGTAAGGTCCCAGTGCTTTAAGTCACGATTTACTGAACCTTTCGTCAAGAACGGGGAACGGGCTGACGCGTTGCAAAGGCAAAACCTGCTTTGCGCCTGCTAACAGTACGGGTTTATGAAATCGCAAGGTTTTACAGAACGCATGAGACGAGATGCTCCTATGAAGGCTGGGAGATGTTTGGAGCTATTGTCCCTACTTACAGCTTTAAACGGCTTCATATGGTGCTAACTATTGCCTTCGACCTTGACAAGGTGATGTTTCACTGCAGTTGCCGACTTTGCTCTTCAAAAATAAGTCTTGCTTGACCTGTGACCTCACTGTCACCGTGTCACTGGCTTCGGCTTCGGCTTCGGCTTTGACTTCGACTTCACGTCACCGTTTTGGGTTCGGATTCGGCTTCAGGGCCAAAAGCAGGACTTCGCTCCCATTCTGAACTGCACACTACCCAAAACCATGACACCCTTTGATGCATGTTTGTTGTGTTGTTTGTGGTGGTTTTGATGACTTTATCAGCCAAAAGGTTTGCGAAGCAAAACTAAACGCCCCCGGCTGGGCCGTGCCACTCAGATGAGATGGGATGTACTTGGTCCAGATTTGCCTATGCCCGTCGCGCCCGACAAGTCGCTCTAGTTGAGTCGCCGGCCACCCCGCCAGTGATGCAGCCCCACTCCGCCCATGGCCCGTGGCTGTTGCGCAGTCAGACCTCCGCACGGGTGTCAGCTGACCTCTGTCCCCGTCCACCACGCTCGGCGTGTCCGTGGCGACCACACGCCCGGTGCGCGACCCGCTGCTCCCTCCCTCCACCCCTCCGGCCCGGGCAGGCGAATGACGGATCAGAGCCCCTGCCGCAGGTGCCAGTCGAGGGCGAGGCGGTGGTTGTGACGGAGCCCATCCTGCTGGACACGGCGACACCCTTCCTGGTCTCCGTGGAGGTGGCCGCCGGCGGTCGGCTCGTCTTCGACCCGAACGTGGCGCTCGCCAAGCTGGCCGCCGAGTTCGTGCTGGTGAACGGCGAGCTGTGGGTGGGCGCCGAGGACTGTCCCTTCACCGGGCAGGCCGAGCTGGAGCTGCTCGGCCTCAAGAACGAAACGGTCGGCGTCGAGGTCGGTGGCGCGCTGCAGCTCAAGGCCCTGGTCGTTGACCAGGGCCGGCTGGAGGTGCACGGCGCACTGCGGCGCGCCTGGGCGCGCCTGCAGACCACGCTGCCGAAGACGACGCGGGAGCTGGTGGTGGGTTCGCCCATCTTCGACTTCGCCGAGTCGGAGGACGCGCAGTCCTGGTACCGCGGCTTCATCGCGTACGAGTTCTCGGCCGACGGTCAGCCGCTGGGCTTTCTGGGCCGGCTGCGGCGCTCGTGCGAGTTCGCGGAGCTCGTGACGCGCCAGGACAGCGTGGTGCTGCTGGTGATGCAGCGCAAGGTGGAGCTGGACGGCGGCCAGGAGCCGGAGCGCGTGGCGCTGGCGCTCGAGCAGGCGTGCTACGGCGGCGAGCGTCGCAGTCACCTGCGTGACCTCGCGCCGGGCCAGACGGTGGCCTGGGCAGCCGTCTGCCACGTCGGCCATCCGGAGAACAGCGTCGAGGAGCTCGGCCACCCCGAGGGCGACAACTCGATGACGTCGCGGCTGGTGCAGCGCGTCGGCGACGCTGACTTCCTGGTGCAGTCGGTGACGAGGCTGGAAGGCGACTGGCCGTTCGAAGTCAGCATGCTGTCGTACGCGGCCGGCACGGTGCCCGCCTCCACAATGACGTTGTCCGTCGACTCGGACGTCAGTGACTGGCGCGCCGGCGACACCATCGCCGTCACGTCCACCGACTACGACTGGCGGCAGGCGGAGGAGCTGACGCTGCTGGAGTGCGCTGAGTGCTCCAGCACCGAGATCAAGGTCGGCCGGCCGATTCTGTTCACGCACTGGGGCGAGACCACCGACGGGGTCAACATGGGCGCCGAGGTGGGCCTGCTCAACCGCAACGTCCGCATCCACGGCCGCATGGAAGACGCCTGCTACGGCGACAACCACTGCGGCCGATTCAGCTTCGACACGTTCGGCGGCCAGATCAAGGTGCTGGCCGGCTTCCAGACGGTGCGCATCGCCAACGCCGAGATCTTCCACATGGGTCAGAACTCGGTGCTGGGTGCGTACCCCGTCCACTTCCACATGTGCGGCGACGTGGACTCACGCGAGCACCCGCCATACGTGCGCTCCAACGCCATCCACCACACGTTCTCGCGCTGCGTCACCGTACACGGCACTAACGGCCTGCTGGTGGAGGACAACATGGCGTTCGACCACTACGGCCACTGTTATTTCCTGGAGGACGGCGGCGAGAAGCGAACGGCCTTCCGGCGCAACCTGGGCTTCAGCACGCGACGCACGAGCCTGACGCCCACGGACGGGCGCGCCTCCACCTTCTGGATCACCAATCCGGACACGGCGATGGAAGGCAATGTGGCTGGCGGCTCGGAGGGCTTCGGCATCTGGTACACGTTCCCGCGTGAGCCAATCGGTCCGTCAGCTGAGCTGGGGCTCATGGCGGAGAACGAGGCGTACCGCACCCCGCTCGGCGCGTTCGTCGATAACGTGGCGCACTCCAACAACGAGTATGGCCTGCTTTTCGACGGCGTACTGAAACCGAACGGCCATGTCCACAGCGGCTTCAACTACAATCCACTGGAGGACCCGCAGGACCCGGACAGCGCGGCGGTCGTGGTCGAATTCAACGGCTTCACCGCCTTCAAGAACTACAAGTCGGTGAAGGTACGTGGCCCGCAAGTGTTGGCACGCAACTTCAAGATCGCGGAGAGCGTGGAGGGGGTCAGGTTCCTCTACTCGTACCCGGGCGTGAAACGACTGGTCGACTCACTCATCGTCGGCGAGACTGCCAACAAGGGCAAGCCGGAGGGCTGGATCCGGCTGCAGAACGACACTGTCATCTGGTGGGACCGCCAGATCCGCATGAACGGTGCTGACAACGCGCTGCCCATTATCGGCGTCATCTTCTACGACGGCATCGTCTCGCTGGAGGGCGTCACGTTCGACAAATTCGCCAGCAACGTGGTGCGGCCGGCCGGCGGCATCGGCATGCGCCGGCGTAACAGGGACTACACTTCGCCGGTCAACAGCGCCAGCGGCGCCATCTTCCGCTACAGCGACCCGGCCGAGGGCAACCGCGTGTTCGACGCCAGCGAGGGCCGCGGCTTCGAGGACAGAGCCGGCAACATCCAGAGCGTGATCTGGGACAAGGACGGCTCGCTCACAACACACGCCGGCGCCACACTCGTCAAGCCGTATGCGGTGCACCTCAACGCGCGCTGCGCGGCCGTGCCGCAGTGGAACCTGCACATGTGCCCAGCGCGCTTCACCAAGCTGCAGTTCCTCTGGTGGGACGGCGCCGCCAACCCGGTGCACACGTTCATCACGCGCAACGACGGCACCGCCACGTTTGGCCGCGACAACTACCAGATCAGCTACGCGCTCAATACGCAGGAGTCCTACATCCTGCACTTCAACCAGACGGTGCCGCGCCGCTTCAAGATCCGCCTGGCCGGCGTCGAGGCCGACGTCAGCCAGACGGTCGGCATCTGCGTCGGGCGTGACGTCACGCCGACGCTGGAGATGAGCGCCGTGCCCGTGCCGGACTTCGGCTCGCTGGAAAGCGGCGGCGCCGACGTGCGCTACTTCCACGACCCGGCCGTGGGCGTGCTGTTCTTCCGCTTCAGCTCGCCGTACGCACGCACGCCCGACACGGTGGACGAGTGTCCGGGCATGGAGGGCGAGCCAGCCGGCTGCCCCACCATCGAGATCGTCCTGCCCGACATGAACACGGATGGAGACTGCTCCGAGCGCGCCTATCCCACCTACCGGACTGAGCCACTCGACGCCACCGGCGCCCTCACCACCCCCGACTTCCCCGCCGAAGGATAACGTCGACTTTAACACGGATCACTCGACGCCACCGGACGCCCTCACCACCCCCGACTTCCCCGCCGAAGGATAACGTCGACTTCAACACGGATCACTTGACGCCACCGGCGCCCTCACCACCCCCGACTTCCCCGCCGAAGGATCACGTCGACTTCAACACAGATCACGATAACGGATTCACTACGGTTTAATATGTCACCGAGCTCACGGTGCCCGAAACCCCGCACTTCACTGCGGGCTTAAATCCAGATTCAAGCATGGGCTCATACTCCGGACTTCATCTTAAGGCGACGCCCGACTCCGACCCGCCCGATGTTCGTGTTTGGCTGAAACCCTGTACTTTAAGGCGACGCCCGACTTCGACCAGCCCGATGTTCGTGTTTGGCTGAAACCCTGTACTTTAAGATGACGCCCGACTCCGACCCGCCCGATGTTCGTGTTTGGCTGAAACCCTGTACTTTAAGGCGACGCCCGACTCCGACCAGCCCGATCTTCGTGTTTGGCTGAAACCCTGCACTTTAAGGCGACGCCCGACTTCGACCAGCCCGATGTTCGTGTTTGGCTGAAACCCTGTACTTTAAGATGACGCCCGACTCCGACCCGCCCGATGTTCGTGTTTGGCTGAAACCCTGCACTTCACCCGACCCGGCAACAGTGGATCTCATGGAAGCCTGAAATTCTGGACTCCACCACAGCTTCGGTGTTTTTCTCCTTTTTTTGCATCTCCTGGTATTCGTGACGCATCGGCTTTGCGAACCCCGACGGCGCTTAAGTGACCCCGGCCCTGGTTAAGCACGGGATGACGAAAACGTGGCATTACTGTCTCGCGCCCTGGTACCGAGCCCTTTGGCTGAACGCTCTATTACGAATACCATGACACTGGAAGCTTTCAGTTGCCTACCCAGCTAGCTGCTGCCTCATAAAGACTGTCGAGCTGATTCAACAGGCCATCCATAATCAACCGAAAGACGCGCCTGCTGTAACACGCCACTCGCCTGGATGGCTTTGTGATTGAAGCTGGGGTGGCCTGCATGGCACCTGAGCAGGTGCCTGCCAGGCGGCACAGCATGCGTCCGAAGGCAGGCGGCCGTCGGCGGTCAGGTTGTGTGTATCGGAGCTTACCGACCCTGGAGCGACTCGCAGCCCCTGTTAACGGCGCATACTGTGCCACCAGCGACAACTACAGCTCACTCTAAATGCACACGCGCGCGATACCTATCCGATGTGAAGCTTGCCACAGCCTGTTAGGCTACCTACCGGGCTGAGACATAGGGATTTTTAAAGCAGGAAAGCATGGGTGTAGTTACCAATTTCAGAACGAATTAAAGAATAAGGAATTTCTGCGGTGGCAAAGGAATAAATTACGCATCTGAAAAATGTCCAAATAGTGCTTAACCTGGCAGCAGCAAGCCCGTTTTGTATAACTCCTCACGGGAGATAGGAGTGGCACTAGTCTACGTTGGGTTGACTCGTTTTTCTTACGCTCTTCTAATCTTATTTAGATGTGAAACGCGGATTTGTTCCTCAACCGAAACAGAACTTCTGAATAAACGCATACATGAATGGATTTTAAGGATAACTCACGATGACGCAGGAAAGTACAACGAGCCTGGCATCCAATGATTGTTATCTTGTTAAGGTGCTGACGTGTGTCGACATCTTTGTTGTTTTGCTGACATCTGAGCCGAATTTTTGTTCATATCACTATATCTTTTGTTTCTCTGCTTCAAACTCAGGCATGATCATACTGTCGTGTGGTATCGAAATGGTTCCTTCCGGTTGATTACAATGCACGAATAAGAGCCTGATCTAACTCGCTGAAGAAACATTACACGTGCAAGCAGAGCCCATGTGCTGACTCAGCAGCGTGAACGCGTCAGGTGAAAGATCTAGTCGTCTTTCCACGGCATTCACAGGCCATCTTTGAAACGCATTCACTACAAAATTCGCATACTGCATTGGCTGGAAGATGCATGGATTTGCATCAGTGGGAGAACCAACATGTGTTCGTTTCCGGGGCGGAGCACCGCGAGTGAACGAAGGGACACACTTCCCTCAGGCCGTTCTCCAAATCGGCAAATCCTTCACGGACAAGAACCGACTTCGAAGACAAGAATATGCTTGCAATAATGTAAGTGCGGGCGTGTCTTTTCAGAGTAAACAGATTATGCATCACGAAAGATATTTGAAACGCCAATCTTATGTCGATAACGAAAAGCTTTCGCGGAACAAACAAAAATACACGGATCAATGCAGTGATTGAAGTTAACAGCGACTACTAATAGAAGCAGATGCATGCCTAAGAGATGAAACATTTGGGAACACGAATATCAGACGTGACATACCATTCCAAACGTCACCGGCTCACCCCTGCGACAGATGGTGAGCGCCGGTGGCTGTTAGCGAACTTCCGCAGTGCACTGGCCTTCCATATCGTGGGTGACGTCAGCATGCTGGAGAGCTGACAGCCAAGACTCCGTCCACGCGACCTTCGCAAACTCAAGCTGTTCACTCTGCAGCGTGACGCCTGCTGCACCAGCCCATCGTTTAGCTCCGGGTCAGTGCGTCATTATTCTCGGCGCGTATAACCAGGGCATTAGCGTCGCGACGTGTAAGTGGGTCCATCTGGAGGCCGCACTGCGTCGGGTACGTGCTGCAATTAGTCGACGGATATAGCCTGATGTTCATCTTTGGACTATGACATATTCACCTGCCTGAGGTTACTAGAATCAGAAGCCGCGTACGCTACCGATTCATTCCTTTGTTTTCATTGTCAGGATCATTACGCAGGATTGCCACGGCCACCAAATGGGAGGGAATAGCCTTCAGAGAACGATATCATCAGTTGGCCTCCTATTGGGTGGCGCCCAACCGGAAAGCCAGCAAACAATGAAAGATGCTAAGCAAGGGCAGGGGTTCTGGAAAGTTCGAGTAGCGTCTATATTTCCACCTTGCTTTTCTCTCAGCTCCTTCCTTCCTCTCCTTTTCTCTTTCAGCTGCATCTATTTCCCGTGCTTATCAGATGCACCATGTTACCTAACTACACCGTGGCACAACTCTGTGCGGCACAAACGGAGGAAAACACATTGCCGTGTATTGTGCACCCTGCTCTTATAAAAACCGTCCGGTTTCACACAGTATACGACATGGGGGAGAAGAGCATCACACTGCCACAGCCAGGGGCTGAATGCGTGGAGCATCACAATCACCTCTGACGTGGCTGTTACCTAGCAGTGAGACATCACAATCACCTCTGACGTGGCTGCTACCTAGCAGTGAGACATCACAATCATCTCTGAGGTGGCTGCTACCTAGCAGTGAGACATCACAATCATCTCTGACGTGGCTGCTACCTAGCAGTGAGACATCACAATCATCTCTGACGTGGCTGCTACCTAGCAGTGAGACATCACAATCATCTCTGACGTGGCTGTTACCTAGCAGTGAGACATCACAATCATCTCTGACGTGGCTGCTACCTAGCAGTGAGACATCACAATCATCTCTGACGTGGCTGCTACCTAGCAGTGAGACATCACAATCATCTCTGACGTGGCTGTTACCTAGCAGTGAGACGCATTTTGAAGCAAGGAGCACTATGAGCAAAAAAAGAGAGTATTTGTGTTTATATCACTCAAAAGGGTAGCTTTAACAAACAAAACTCGGAAGATTTCAGGTGACTGATATAGGTGATTTCGACACAACAATGCATGCCTAACGATGAACAATTTCTATTGCTGGCGAAAAGCGCCCTCACAATAGCATCGTGTGCACATGGCTGTACCGGCCGTGCACGGCCGCGGCGTTTAAACTGGGCGCGGTATCTAGCCAACCCGCCGGTGCAGCCAGCCCGCTGGCTTTGAGTGGCATCCTGTCGTGAGGGGGGGGGGGGGGCGGGGGGATCGGCCAGACAATTATTTCCATAAAAGACGGATGTGTTTTACTGGCAGCTGATAGCTCTATACCAGCGCTATCGCGATTCACATTGCCGGCCAATAGAGCTCTGACGATGATATTGCGCATGTTACATATCAAACTATACAACTTAAATACAACTATTTGACTTTGGGGATCATCTAAATAATGTCGACCCCTTATCGAAGGCGTTTGCTCTACTGGCCGCTGATAGCCCTATATCGGTGGTATCGAACGCGCACACTCGCAATCTTCGCGCGCATTTTTGCAAGCATTGTCTGCGGCCGCCGTATTCTGGCCACCACGCTACGGACAAGAAGCCCTCAGTTAGCAGGGCGCCGTCAAGGGGTGATTTGGATCAGGTCATGTCGGCCTATGAGCGATTTACATCACCAGCCAGTAGAGTTCCCAACTGACATCGCGCGCACATGGTCGCACCCACCGCCAGCGGCTAAAAACATTTTAAATTGGACGCGGCAGCTTCGCAGGTCACCGATGTGGCCCCAGCAATCATTGAGTGAGACGCTGCTGGGGGAGGAGGGTGACCGAATGAAACAGATTCTATGATCAAACCAGTATGTTGAACTGGCAGCTGATAGTCCTATACCGGCGCTACAGAGTGCACACAGTCCACTCGTTGGGTGCGATTATAGGGATTTTCACGTTTGCTGTGTTCTGGCCGCTACGACGCTGGCAAACTGGCAGCAGTTGGCAATGCGCCTTTAAGGGTTTCTTTGGACCACACAATTCACATCAGATGATGACCGATTTAGGTTGATGGCAACAGCATTCACATGATGACTTCGTGTGTGCATGATTGCATCCACCGCGCAGGACTAAAAATGCTTCAACTGGACGCCGTAACTTTATAAACCACCGCCACGGCCGTGCGGACAGCATTGAGTGAGACGCTTTCGCGGGTCGAAACAATACAAAAAAGACACGAATACAAAAACGACAAAAAGGCGGTGATGGTTAATCCGACAAGTATGATCTTTTGCCAGGTAATAGCCCTATGTCATCCCTATCTGGCACACAGGCGCAATCTCCGAGCAACTTCATAGGTATTGTTCCGGGCCGCCGCTTTCTGGTCATCACGCTACAAGCAGGCCAGCCTCAGTTAGCATCGCGTCCTGCCGGCTGATGAGCGACTTACATGGCCGGCCATCACGGTACTTCACTACAGGGCTAATAAAAGCTCCCACAATAACATCGTGAACACGTGGTTGCACCCACTGCGCGCAATAAAGTGTTTGGAATTGGATGTCATATCTTTGCAAAAAGCTGGTGCAACCGGTACAACAGCATTGAGTGAGACGCCGTCAGGGGTCAACCGAACAAATAAGATTGTCTCATCGGACAAGTGTGTTGTACTGGCACATGGTAGCACTATACCACGGCTATCAAATGCAACAGTGGCATTCTCCACGCGCGAATGAGTATTTCTCCCCGGACGCCGTACTCCGGCCGCCACGCCACTGGCAGGCTGGAAGCAGCTAACAATCTTCTTTAATGATTCCATTTGAACCAAAAAGGTCATAACGGCTGATGAGGATTTACATCGCCGGCCAAAATAATGCTCCCGCAATGACATCGTGACCACGTGGTCGCACCCGCAAGGCGCGACTAAAAGTATCGGCGATGGGGCGCCGTGTTTACACAGAGCCGTTGCGGCCGGCCAGTCAGCATTAAGTGAGACGCTGCCGGGGGTCGAACGAATAAAATGGAGACCGGAATCAGACAAACCTACAGTGCTAGCAGCTGATAGCCTATACCATGACCACCATGACCACCTGCGCAAATTTAGAATTTTTCGGAGCTGCCGTATTCTGGCCATCACACTGGCGACAGGCCAGCCGCAGTAAGCAATGCACAGTCGACGGTCGAGTTCCACAAAAGGTCATGTCCGCTGATGAACGATCTACGCTGCCGACCGATAAAGCTCCCACAAAAAAACGTGTGCACAGGGCTGCACCCGCGGCGAACAACTAAGCGTATTTTAAATTGGGCGCAATAAATATACACACTAACTGTATTATATACCCTTGCAGTGATATAACTTAAATGTACCAACTAAATATCAAAACCGTACATAAAACTATATACATATGATAAAACCATTTTTCCTTTGACCCCGGCCGTAAGCAAATGGCCTGTGCGTCGCACAGGCCGTTTGCTAACGACCGCACAGTGTGCGGTCGACCCGCCAGCATTCAGTGAGGCGCTGACAGGCCAGGCTGGGCTGCTGAAGTTGCAAAATGCCCGGCCAGTTAACAGCCAGGCGTCCGGCCTGTGCTGCCGCTCATCCCACAGCAAGGCTGCAAGGTGTTGCCACGACTGACGGTGGACTTGCCCTCTGTGAGAATAATCGGGCTACATGTCATCATCCTGCCCTGCACAAAGGCTTCAGCTTTATCGAGCCGATCTTGCCCGGGGACTCGAAATACCAAGATTACATATCACCAGCATGGCCAACGAAGTGTTGGACTCAGCATGGTCTATTTAAAAGACGAATTTGTCCTGCTCTCTCATGGCATGAACCTCATGTCCAACTGCCTTCTGCTGCACTCGGAAAGGCAAAAGGGACACACCGTCCACACACTTCCCCAGCCGGCTGGCGCTGCACCAGGAGCGATGCCGCGCCGTCAGATAGAGGCGACGGACGGCGAATGAGTGAGACGAAGGAAATACGGACAGGACGACACACGAACAGGTACCCACGGTAGCTGCTCGCACAGATGGACGAGCCTGATAAGACGGACAAGCACCGTCAGCGGAAACAGGGTCGAAGTTCACACACGGACGCGGGACCACCCAGCGAGGCCTACCTAGATGGCTGTCCGTAGCAGGCCGCAGATGAAGACACTGGCTGTGCGCCAGCGCTGACGGCGGTGGATGACGCCGGTCAAACGGGCCCGCGCTGAACACAACCACTGCAACGAAGCGTCCGGCGCGACTGCCCACAGCACGCCAGCGCCCAGCACTTGTCCTGGTGTCCGCCTCCCGCTCCACCAGTCTCTAGCAGCTCGCCACCGAAACGTGTTTAGTCGCTCAGCTCGAAGTCGTCGCAGAGGTAGCTGTTGCGCGGCTGTCGGGGCCGACGCTCCGTCGAGCCGCTCGGCTCCGACGGGCCGGCGCCGCCCTCCCGCTCGCGCAGCTGCTGCTCGTGTTGGATGGCGGCGGCCAGCGACTCCTCGCGCGGGTCTTCGCCCTCCTCCTCGTCCTCGTCCTCCGCGGCCGGCACGGCCGGCGGCGGCTTGCGGCGCTTCTTGCGCGGCCGTTTGGGGGGCGGCGGTCGCTCGCCCAGCGCGTTACGAGGGCACGCGTATGATAGGTGCCCGGCTTCGCCACACTCGTAGCAGCGCGACTTATCCGGGTACTCGCGCCGGCGCACGAACTCGGCCGCGCGCCCGTTGTCGCGCGCCAGCGAGGCGTGCAGTGTGCGCCCGAAGACCGTGCGGCCGTCAAGTGCCGCCGCGCACGCCAGCGCCTCCTCGCGGCGCAGGAAGAGGGCGAACGCCACGCCCTTACTGCGTCGCGTCTCGCGGTCCTTGACGATGGTGACACGCACCAGGCGGCCGAACTTCTCCAGCAGCTTGTGCAGGTCGCTGTTGGTCAGCGCGAACGGCAGGCTGCTGATGTAGACGGTGCTCTTGCTGGGCGCAAGCTTGCCGCTCATGGCAGCCGCGCCTCACCGCTGGGAGCTGTGCGACGCGAGCCCACACGGGGCGCGGCAGCGCGGGTCTGTGGACGAGAACGTAGCGTGTTTATGGCGAGTCACGACAGGGTCATGTGGCAGCACTGGCACCAACTACTTAGAAAATATATGTGTATATTGCATGTCAACAAAAATCCCATGAAATGCACAGCACAATCTGGAAAGTGAAAGAATGCTGAGCAAAGAATATGAAGTAGCTGGCTTTCCAACTGCTTTTGGTCTGCTCTGATAATCATATTATAGGAGTACATTGATATATCATAACAAATATTTGGGTTTCTTAGTTGTTTCAATAGTTTCCAGCAGTTTAAACATGAAATAAAATGTTCTTGTAAGTTCCAGAATATGTTTCAAAATATGGTAATATTTTATGTGCAAGCCAGTTCACAAGCATGACAGTTCTGTACATCATATAAAGTATGGTTTCAATACTGCATGGGAAATTAACAAACTCCAAACATTTTATACAACTTACTGCACAATTGTGCACTTCCATTGAACAACAAGTTATTACATGCTGTCACCAATGAGCAGGTGACAAACTAGTCCTCCCTATAAGGAGCACACAAAACTGGATCCATGTTGCTCTCAACATCACATTCCAGTGTATTATGAGCTTCAGTCTAAATGATATGCAACACAATGCAAAGTTCAAGAGCAAGCAGCAGAGCATTCAGCAAACAATTATTCATGTCATGGAATGTTTATTTCAAGCAATAAAAATACATTTTTTCTTGACTTTGTGTGTAACATGTTGCTAATGCTGTTGAGGAGCTAATTAAGAACTGTGCAATCAAACTGTCACTAAAACTGGACTTACAAAAATGGGTATCTTAACAGTGGCATGTTTCATCTTTTAGTGGTAGTTGCAGAGTTCAGAAACCAGAGATAGGTGTGCACCAGCCTGTATATGAACATATATATCCCTGGCTCCAAGCGCAATGGCCACTGATGATCAGCGATAACTAATAACAGTACCTAGCAAATCCAAAAGCAAAATCATTCTAAATATCACAAGGGATGCAAATGAGTGTCCTTTCTTCTACACAATGATGTGCACGTTGATGTCAAAGTTGGTTCAGGAAATGTTAGATAAAGTTACAAGCCCTAATCCACAGTACTATACAGTTCAAAATAACATAAGTTGTTCAGTGCATTAGCAAAGAACATTATTCACATAGATAAGATAGTAGTGTTAGCCTTATTCCTCAGAGAAAATTACAGGAGAATGGAGATATAGTTGGGTTGATGCTTCAGCAACATGCCTTTATCAAAACAATAGCAGAGGTGGATTCACTTCTGCTGTTGTTCTGATACAAGCATATTGCCAAAATATCAACCAAACTATATCTCCATTCTCCTGGTTTTCCCTGAGGAGTAAGGCTAATGCTACTAGAAGTGAGTTCACTTCTGCTATTGTTTTCATAAAGGCATGTTGCTGAGTATCGGCCTAACTACCTCTCCATTCCCCTGGTTTTTCTCTGAGGAATAAGACTAATACTACTGTCTTGCCTTATTGTACTGTACAGTTCCACAAATAAATGTGGACTGAGTATCAGCATAAGGGATGCTTCAATTGCTGAAAAAGTGGCAATGAATTTTACATTGAAGTCTGTAAAATATTTAGATTCAACATTTATTGTTTTTAATGTCATGGCAGCCCAGTTGGTTCAGGTAACTGTCTTTGATCCATATCACCTGACCATGGCTGGGTGGGTTTGTGGCAGCATGGGCTCATGTTGCTTTAAGTATGTGTTATTTTCCAGACTGGGATGACCTGTGGCAAGTGCCTAATGGCAGCAGCTGCAAGAATGGTTGGGTGACATCAGAGGATAGCACGGAGTGCACAAATAATTGTGGTGCATCAAAATTTATCCACAAATGATGCTGCTTACCTAAAATTTTGTATGGGATGGTGGGCCTGCAGAGTTCATGTAATAAAAGGTTGCTTAGGTTGAGGTTTGGTCCCCAAATAACACAATCAAGCAGTTTGTAATAACCCTTTCAGATCTACTGAGCTGATGATAAAACATAAGTTGATGAAGTCGGACAAACCTATCACCCTGTTAAAGCCAATGCGACAACTAACTTACCAATGATGAAGCGCAAGCAAAACAGACACAGGGGTTACCATGTGGAGCGGCGAGACAACTCTCCGCCGCACGAGCTTAAAACAGGATCAACTAAACGGGTTAGACTAACCCGGCACTGAAGCTTCTCCAAGACACGGAGAAATAGGTAAGGTTGGTGGCGTTTCATCACACGCTTTCCATCCCATTCCATCCATCAGTTAAGCCCCCCAGCCTGCAACTCTCCTCACGTCAATGATAATTGCATACCGGGAACAACCTGTGACCCGCGCGGTTTTATATCGCTTTCTGTTACCATCCTTTGCGTTTTCCCGAACGCTTATTTGGATTACCTGCGTCAATATGGTCTTTACCATTTGATACCAAATTTACACCAGACCAGGCATGTATTTGTCGCCCACAAAACGAGGCGCAAAAGAGAGGAAAGAACGTGGATAATGTATGTGATAACGAACGGCGTGGGTGGAGTTCCTATGTTAACTATGGAATGGAAAGAAATTCATGCGACGCTTGAACACAACAGCAAACTACTTGCATTGGTTACACCAGGTAGGTACAAGACCCAAAGGTGGTAAAAGACAAGCAGGTGACGTTTTGCGCACTCATTACCGGGACCCGGCTTGAAACACCGGCTAACCGGGCTCCCAAATTTGCATGGTCATCTGCCAGCATCTGTCCGTTCAGCTCTATAAACGAATCGAAGAGGAGGACTGCATGTCAAGAAAGAGTGAAGGCAGCCTGAGAACGCCAACCTAGATTAAAACTTGACAGCAGGTGCAGAACCGGGCCCAGAACACACTGTTAGAACTTGTGCACTACACAAGTGGTTATCTCAATATAATCTCACCTACACCCCAACTCGATCGCCTCTCAATTTATGTCTCTTGATGCTGGAGGTCTGTCGCCACCGCGGCCGGTAAGCCGTGTGTCCTCCGGAGCCGGACTGCTGCAGTGGAGTTACCAGAGGCACAATCAGAGGTCTCGGCCAGAAGCTCAAGGCGGTGACCGCCTCTGTCTGCAGCACTGGCCCGTCCCCGTGGGAGCGCACCGACCGGATGGCGTCAGCATGGGTGAGGTGGGAAGGGGGCGAACATAGCCTTGGTGGTTGGCTGCCACACGTCGGCTGTCATGTCAGCTGCTGCAGCCAATGGCTGAGGATGGCTGTGACGGTAGTACACGCCAGCCACCCCCTGGCGGTCCTGAAATCGGATACACAACGCCATAACTGAAACAACATTTTCTTACGAAAAATGCTAATGTTATATTTAAAGTTTGACAATGCAACTGCGGGAACTGCGCAGTGGTGTCCTCTATCGTCAATATCTTGTACTTGGCAACATTGACTGTGTAGTTGAAGTGCATTAATGCGCTATGATTGTGGCTATATCTAGAAGTGACTGATGCTGCACACTCAGACCGTTTGAGGAGCAGCGTGCTATTTTCCTATACATGGAAAATTCTCGTCATATATGGTAGAGAGCAAAGCAAAGGAAAGCTTGAGCAAAGTCGCGCGACCAGTGGCCCAGGGATGTAATTTTCTATCCAGCTCGGGGAGCTGAAGTCCCGAACCCCCCCCCCCCCCACACCCTTCAGGCTTGGGCCCCTGCCCCCCCCCTCCAACTTTGAGAAGGAAGTGTGCCAAATCTGAAGAGGTACCAGTTTGTTGGATACTTTGGGACATGTTGGGACATGGGACACGTCTTTTTCTCTGTTCAGCCCACCCTCCCCGTCCCCCTCACCCTCCCCAACACATTTTGCGGGGCTGCGCCCCTACAATGGCTGCTTTTGCAGTGTGTCTGGCATGCCAATGGCTGTAGAGGCAGTATCGAAAACCTTTTCAGTCCTTGAAAGCTTATTCACACCATTTCACCCAGCCCGGTGCGTCAAAGGGCTATGCACGTGATGTGCTGGGCCGGCCGGCGGCGGTGACGCCGGCCCTGATTCGTCACCGTCGGAGGCGCCCGGGTCCGACCGCCGCCCAGGGACCTGTGGCGCGCTGGCGACAGCCGGGCCCGGGTATTCTGGGCGGGCGGCGGGCGCTATTTCGGCGCGCGGCCGTCGTCCGGCGTCGAGTCAGACGATAGCACCGCAGGTCGACGGACACCGCCCCGCCGCGCCGGCAGGTGAGTGAGACGGACTGGTGGAGGCGGGCCGAGTGTGCCATGCAGTCATTGCAGGTCAACATCTCTCGGCGCTCGAAAAAGCTCTGTTCCCGGCATGGGCAGCTCCGTTCCCGACATGGGCAGCTCCGTAACCAACATGGACAACCCCATTTCCGGCAGCTTAGGTACTGCTTCAAAGAAAACAACTCAGTGCATTTCTAGAAAATGCATGCTAGCGAAAAAACCGCCATCGTCGAGCTGTTTTGGGCTCAGAGCTCTTCTGCTGACAGTTATCGACCCTCAAAATACCGGAAAGCATTCACAAAGGACGATATCAAGCCAACAGTGCATAGCTAATACTCGACGTGTCAGGCTGCGCTAATCATTTCGAGATGTGGCTGTCAGCATAACAACTTTGAACTCGTAATGTCCAAAAACCAGGAGCGCATGATCTTCCTTGCTTTTATGAAGTGTTCAACTAGAGCGTCTCCGTTCCGTAATTTCGAAGCCATGCGTAATTCAAATCACGTATACGCTATTCACGTTCATTGACGTTTATGTACAATGCATCCGTACCTATTGAACAATTTTAGATGCCATATGCGGCACCTCGCGCGCTAGATGGGTCTAGTTTTGATACAGTTCCAAGCTAACTGAGCCTGGCATGCATATTTTTTTGGGGGGAGGGGGGCACGCGCATTATATTTGTTTACCGACATATTTCCGCACGCAGCAAATCGCATTTAAGACTTGGGTTGCTGAAGAGACTGGGTAACCTTCTGCACCAACAACATGTCTCCCACTTCCATACCGTGCCCATCGGCATTTGACTTCAGTGCCTGCGTGCATTTAAACATCGCTCTTTGCATGAGCTCTGAGGCCCAGCAGGTGAGTCTCTGAGGCCCAGCGGTTGAGTCTCTGAAGGTCAGCAGCTGAGTCTCTGAGGCCCAGCAGCTGAGCCTCTGACCAGCGCGCGGCCCAGCGCCATCCGCGTGCTGTCGGTTCGGCAGCTGGCACGCCCTGCTGGCGCGGTGCCTGCTCCCCGGCCAGCTTCAGCGCCGCTCGCTGGCGCCACCTGAATCAGATCAGGACCTTGCTGAATGGACGTTTATCACGTTGTGTCCTGCCTATTTACGTGATTTATCAAAAATATACATTTTGGTAGGAGTATTTAAGTCAGGTAGATCAGAGGGCAAACGCCAACAAAATACGGGACCGCATGTTTCGATGTGGCTGTCTTTTCTAGACTGTTTCTTGAACCCCGTGAATCCTCCCCAGTTAGTGACTAGTGCCCTCCGCTGCCAACTCCTCTTTCTTTTGATCCATTTCGCCCTTCGCCTGCTCTCGGAGGTAAGATAAAAACAAAAGCAGAGCACTGTCGCCTTGCATTCTTCGGTTTATTGTTCTCCGCTGCGCTCTCAGTTCTGCACCATCGTCCAGCCAACTGAGCTGGCGCCTGAACGAGGGCGCACCATTGGGGTGTGATGTCGTACTTTGGGGCTGGTCCAACATATTCAGATGTGACAAGATCGGTTCGGCATTCCGCGCGAAGCCTCCCCGGGCAACAGTCTCCGGCCATAGACATTCCGCCGATCGGAACGGAGCTGACAAGAACGAGCGTCTTATTGGAAAACCTGGCTCACCAACAAGTGGGATACAGTTCAAGGTATGCACCGCCGACAAAAGGAGTCGCGAACGATGACAGGTTTGTCACCGCCTTGAAATCGAATAAGTGCACCAGCGTGTAACCGGGCTTGCGGGGACATGGTTTGTGTAGCTGATGCCGCTGGTAAAGGTGTATTTACAGAGCTGGTGGCGACTATTTACAGAGCTCATCATAACTTCACTCGGCGCTGGTAAAGTCGGAGTTGCGCTCAGAATAAGAAAATACGTTAGGTCTAAATGGAATTGATTCTTTTCGCAATATTTGTGAGTTACGTTGTCAGTGAGCAGTCGGGGTTACGTTGTCAGTGTTGTTCGTAGTTATGGATAGGAGAACAGGACGAACTAAGTAGAAATAAAGCAACAAGAGCGTCATTGTTTGGACAATGTTTATATGTACAACAAATGAAACACAAGGCACGATGCTGTCTTCTGAAAACTATTTTCCCTACGCTAGCCTGTCTAAGGCTCACAGAATAGGTTATTTCCAAACCGTTTCCCACAGTATCCGAGCCGAACAAAACCGGCCCAGGAACTGAATGATATTCCATTAAATCATCGGAATCGGAAAAGACTTAAAATCGTGCTGTGCTGCTGTTAGGCGAACTCGGAATCAGCTCCATGCTTATAAGTGTCAGAATCGGAAGATTTCGTTGAAGACGAGTCAAGTGGGTAAATGTTGGCACTATCGTTATCAGCAGCTAAACTCGCATAGGTAGCCAGAGTGACCGTCTTGCAAGCTTATGAGATACTGCTGACATCTGAAAGGCGAAGCCTGCAGCTGGTGCGACCAAGTCAGCACTTCGGCCTGCAGCTGGCGCGATCAAGTCAGCACTTCGGCCTGCAGCTGGCGTGTTCAAGTCAGCACTTCGGCGCAGTGTGTTGCTGTTTTTGAACCGCGATTTCATATGTTCGCCATGCATATCCCTGTTCAGCAGCCCGCCAGCTATAGTAGATACGCAGCGACGCTTTTGAAGTTCTCTGTTGACATGACCTAGATACTGGTTTGATTGCACGTCTGTTGCATAAAGATCACGACGCTGAAACACGTCTGGCAGTGAAAGCGAGTTCCCTAGCAGCGAATGCTGTGGATGATGTATAAACAGTATCGTTTTCGGTATGGCTTGTGGGCATTGATATTGCTTTTGAGCATGCTGCACCCAGCTCATATTCATGTGTTTGCCCTTAAATAAATGAGCTCCGTTGACTGACTTATTACTCGTTTGCAATCCGCTAGATGCACTACCATCGCTGAATGTCATGATGCAGATCGGAGCTTTTATCCAGCAACAGTATGTCATGTACACTGCACACTCACACCAAGTATATATGGCATCGTCGGCTATCTTAGACAGATGAGACGATATTGGTATGTACCTGTGGAAAGACATTTTGTCATGAGCCGCCATGACCGCAGCAGCTCACAGAGATGTGACCGGGCCATGGCTGTGTTTACGCTTGGATCGGCTGGCCAGGCGACCCGAGGACGCTTCATCTGTGCTC